TAATTATGTCTGCACACCTGCTGGTTTCAGTCCCAAATCAGTTTGCCAGACATGCCTAGGGAGATTTATTTCTCCTATACCTGAAAAAGCTCTTTTACCACTGAGGTTTTACTACTCTAAATAAGCCTAAAGAAAAATAGAAGAGGATTTTTTCCTGTCTTTGCTTGAGCAGTTGGTATCTTAAAGTGAACTGTGTAGTTTGTTAGGGGGAGGAGGGTGTTTGGATGATATTTTAATAGCAATTTGTTTTTGCTTCAATGTGTGATAGAAATACAAGTGACAGGAGTGGGAACAGGAGAATTGCTGAATTCTGCTGGAATTTTTCCTGTGGGAATCTGTTAATGTTTTTAATTCTCTGAGAGATTTTTCTAAGGTAATCCTTTTGACATTTACATATTTTAAATGACTCTCATTAAATAAAAGCTTAACTTTTTTATATCAAATGCTGAAGTGATGATACTGAAATACCACTGCATAGAAATTGAAATGGTTTGAGGATTATTCTAATTGCAGCCTAAGCAAAGTAAGATTTGTGAGGGATATTAATAGTGAATTGTTCTTTAAAATAACATAATTTTGAAGGAAATTTAATTGTTGTGGCATTTAGCATATGCATTTTCTTAGACAAAACCCTTTTTGGTACCTCCTGTGTGGTGCACTCAGCCATTCACTAATTGAAACCCTCATTTGAGCAGCTGGGTTTCCACTCCCTACTTGTGTAGCAAACGTAACTTGTGCAGGACCCCAAGGGTTCGCAGTGCACTCTGTGAAAAATCCTTCTCGTTGTCTGTGCCACATCAGTGTAGCTCAGCTCCTGAAGGACAGTGCTGTTAACAGTGCAGGGAAGGCTGGAAGAAATAAGAAGTGGAACATCTTTTTTAAAAAAACAAAGAGCCTGATGGTGAGCTGTTGCCTCTCTTGCAGGTGATGCCATCTTGCAAGCAAATACTGCCATGAGCAAAATGATTCATGTATTCATGTCTTTTCACTCCTTTCACAGGAGGCAGGAGGATAAAAGGGCCAAACATATAGTGTAGCCCAGAAATGCCTTTAAATGTACTTTATTCTGTAGGTTGCACTTTGCTTGTTCAAGCCCTTGAGCTAGATTTTGCTCTCAGACCAGACTAAATACTAAGCAAATTCATTTAATTAAATTTGTTGCAGATATCCCCAGTTAACAAGAACAGATTGGTCTCCCTGAGGCTAGATAGAGTTAACAAGAAAATAAATGTTGTGCTAATTAGAGAACTCATTTTTAGACACCTGGGGTGAAACTTTAAAAAGTCCTAGAGATGTAGGATTGAAAATTCATTTGGAAATGACTCTTAGGCTTCTAAATCACTTAGGCACTTTTGAAAAATTTCCCCAGAGGCTTTAACCATCTCACAATCATCATATTTAGCATGTTTGTAGCTGTCTGCTTAGCAAAACACTATAACTATTATCTGTTTGAGTCAGTACACCACAATGTACTTCATTATCCCTGTGAAGTAGAGACTGGGCTACTTGGTGAGTTGAAGGTAGGCTAAATGTCATTTTTTTGAGCATGCTTGTGTGTCAAGAGGAGCAGGTTGATGCTTTCTTGGAGTTGTTAAAGTACCAGTACCCCAAATTTCCATCTCTTTGCAACCTCCTGGGACTTTCTATAGGTACCTAACAACTTTTTACTATATCTTGCCTTAAGTGACTTGTCCAAGCTCATGGATAAAAAAGACAGCAAAGATGCGATTTTATAGTTCAGCACCTGCTGGAAGGAAAATGAGACACTAAATTCTGTCACACTGCCATTCATTTGCCAAATCATGATAGGAAGTAATAAGGACTCAATAAATATTAGGTTCAATATTAAGCCAAGTTTCCAGATTCACATTTGATTAGCAGAAAAGCAAGAAAAGAGATAGACTCTTAGGAGCAAAAAGTCCCTTCAATAGCTCACAGCTCAGAAGTATGTTTTCAGTAGTTTTTTTTTCCTGTAACTGGTCTGAGGATTTTTCTGAAATATCATCCTTGTAAAGACATGCATTAGTAGTGTCTGTTTCATGCCGGGTAAAACCCTTCCCATAGCCACGCACACACTTACTGTCTGTCAGCAAAAACTTCTGTGTCAGTAATTAGAAAAATGCTATTAAAAACCTGCCTTGTAATCCCAGATAGCCTCTGGGTTGCCTCAGTTCTGCTTCCTTGCTCAGTGCAGTAAGCCAGAATTGCTCCACTGTGAGGTGGGACCCTGCTTCTCTGACAAGTGCTTAGCTACTCTTTTATTTATCTGGTTGTAGAACACTTTGAGGGCACCAGCACTCAGCTGTAGTGCCCCAAAGAGGTGTCCCTTGGTGACAAAGTCCTTGGTCTGACAGGTTTATAACACAGGTGGAGCATGTTGCTGATGGGAACTTGGGAGCTGCATCTCACTGTGGGGGTGAACCTGCACATCATATACATCTGAAAATTTACTTCAGCCTGCCATGAGTCTGGATCATCCAACAGCTTCATAAAAGGGATGAGTCAGGGCCTAAAACACAGAGGGTATCCACTGAGCTCATTATTTTCATACCTAATTACACAGTGCTCTTGAGAGAAAACTGCACATTACGCTGAAGAATCCTGTTTCATCACTAGCCCTAAAAAAATAATTGCATTTAATTAGAACCTATAGATTCCATGGTGATAACTTGATCTATAAACACTCAAGGTAGACCTGCAAATACAGTGCATTAGCAAGTGTATCCATTAAACACAATTTGAAAGTTGGTACTGGGGTGAAAAGTTGGGCTGTTTTGCCATGGAACTTGTAGCTCTTGCACTCCTCTCTGATTCTCTGCAATTTCTGTGCTGTGAACTGGCAGGCAGACAAACACCTGCTGATCTTCCCTTACTGAATTTAGAAATCTTTTTGTTTAGTCTGGGGTAATATATGCATGAGTGGGAAAAAGTGATGACAGGTGACACCTGCAGTGGCAAAAGCTGCCCTTTTCTATGTGAGGTTAGGTCAGAAAGGAAGAAGCAGATATACAAGTGTGGTTAGTAATGCCACAGGGAGCAAACACTTTTCATGGTGAAAACATTTCTTGTAATGGACATTGTAATGTATTTTCTAATGAACTGCAAATTCTACTTCTAGTTGAATCAGCTGCTGGTTGCCTTGTCTCAGCACAGGTCTGGAGGGTCATTTGCAACAAGGCAGAACACAGAAAATTTGTCCTTATCCTTCTCCAGTGCTTGTGCACAGCTGCCTGCAAAGCTCTTAATGTGAAGGGAAATACCTGAAAATGCCAGAGCAGTGAGTGCCTGTGGGGATCACACGGGCTGTCCCTGTGATTCCAGTTCACCAGGAATTGTCCTCTGCATTTCCTGTGTGGAACAGGGCAGCCTGCTCCCGCATATACCTCTCCTGCTCTGTGCTGATTCAGACCACATTTGACATGAAGCTGATAAGATCCATCTCTTGATCCGTTAGGGAATACAAACCCCTTGGAATAAAATGTTTAGCACAGTAGTCAATTAATAGAGGTGCTGCACTTATTTTTCAAGAAACCATGCTTAGAACCAAAAATTAAAATACTCTGGAGTAATGGGATTCTTGTGTAGAAATGATCATCACTCCCAACTCATCAACATGGATGAGAGTATTGAATCTTTCAGTAAATTTGCAGACAACACTAAGCTGGGAGTGTGTGTCGATCTCTTCAAAGGGAGGAGGGCTCTGCAGAGAGACCTGGAACGGTTGGATGGATGGGCAGAGTCCAATAAGATAAAGTTTAAGAAGTCCAAGTGCCAAGTCCTGCATTTTGGCCACAACAACCCCCTGCAATGCCACAGGCTGGGGACGGTGTGGCTGGACAGTGCCCAGGCAGAAAGGGACCTGGGGGCACTGGTGACAGCAGCTGAACATGAGCCAGCCCTGTGCCCAGGTGGCCAAAAAGGCCAATGGCCCCTGGCCTAGATCAGGAATGGTGTGGCCAGAGGAGCAGGGTGGTCATTCTTCCCTTGTGCTTGGCACTGGTGAGGCCGCACCTGGAGTGCTGTGTCCGGTTCTCAGCCCTCAGGTTAGGAAGGACGTTGAGATGCTTGAACACATCCAGAGAAGGGCAATGAGGCTGGTGAGGGGCTGGGAATGTGAGTGCTGTGAGGAACAACTGAGGGAGCTGGGGTTGTTTAGCCTGGACAAAAGGAGACTCAGGGGTGACCTTACCACTCTACAACTTCCTGAAAGGTGGCTGTAGTCAGGTGGGGTCGGTCTCTTTCTCCAGGCAACAACTGATGGAACGAGAGGACACAGCCTTAGGCTGTGCCAAGGAAAATATAGGTTGGATATTAGGAAAAATTTTTTTACAGAAAGAGTGATAAAGTACTGGAATTGTCTGCCAGGGGAGGTGGTGAAGTCACCATCCCTGGATGTGTTTAAAAAAGACTGGATGTGGCACTGGGTGTCATGATTTAGTTGACGTGTTAGGGCATGGGTTGGACTCAATGCTTGAAGGTCTCTTCCAACCCAGTGATTCTGTGATTCTGTGATCTGAAATTCTTTTCAATTGATACATTCACTGCAATGCTTTTCTGGAAAAACACAAAAGTAGTATTTCTGTGGGGAGGAAGGGGAAAGACTTAGCCAGGGGCTAAAGCAGAATGATAAATTGCTTGCCCACTCAAATTATGGGTGTCAAGTTTCTTGTATTTTGTAGCTCTTCCCTTTAGCACAGGGAGAGCAGCTGACTGAGTTAGGAGTTACAAGTGTGTGAGAGGTGCGTGCGCGTGGCCAGCTCAGCACCTTGCTGAGAGAGGAATGCAGCAAAGAGCAGGTTGGACACCTGCTTTGTCAGCTCATCTTAAGAGGAAATGCCTCACCCTCAACTGGGTGGCAAATAGAAAGAACAATCAATAATGAAAATTCAGAGAGGAAAGAGGAGAAGCAAGTGTCCTGCTCAGAATATATTTAAAGTTCTTATTTCACTTTAGGCTGCCTTATCTTTTGTGATATCAGTGTCTGCTTCTCATCCCCACAGTTCACTGCTCTGATGGCTCTGCCACCTCCGGATCCACAGTTTGTGCTCAGAGGTACCAGTGCTGCAGTCCACACCCTGTATTTTTCCTGTGGAGGCTCAGAACCTGATATCCCCCTTCTTTACTCTGGGTAAATACACCAGGATTTCTGGTTATGCTGAGCGTCATATGGTTGTTTCCTTTTGAATTGTATTATTTTGACAAAGTGTTTTTGGGGAAAACAACAGCATGCATGGTTTTGCATGATGGGTGTGTAACTTGTGCATACAGCTTCAGTTTTGAAAACAAAACAAACAAGCAAACAAAAAGGAAGAGCATCAGACTCTTATCACCTCCATGCAGTGCTCACACTAAAGGCATCTCTTCCTACTGCCAGGTCTGAGAGTGGGTTTATCCATGTCTGGAACCTGAGAACACACAGAGTGGACACAGCATTGGATGGCCATGGAAGAAAATCTGTCTACTGCGTGGAGACAATGGGTGGTAAAGACAGGCTTCTCAGGTTAGCAAAGCAGGCAAAAAACAGTGATATTATTCTTGTCTCTGTGACATATTCTTGTCTCTGTGATTGAAAGAAAAAAATGGAGGGGCAGGTTTAAGGATTCTCTTAATTCTGGAGTCACTTAAAGTTTCTGCAACACATATGGAAATGTACTGAAGTACAAAAGACAGAAAAACTCTAGAATAAAAAGCAGGGGAGAAGGATACAATTAATTTTTTTATGATGTATGTTATGACATCATAACAACTTGTGACCTGTAGTGTCTTTACCGAGAACAGGTGAGGTCTTTGGGTCAAGGAAATACACTTGGATTTGAAGCTGACAAACCTTTCACTGCTGGTTCTTGGGGAAGATTGAAAAAAATAATTTTTAAATAAAGGGGAGATAGAGAAAAAGGAAGTAAGGAAGAGAAGAATCGGAGATGGAGAGTGGAAGACTGAAAATGAGCAAGCATGCTGAGTTTCATGCTTTTGCTTTGTTGCAAAATACCTTCTGTTCTTGTTTAGCAAGGGAAGGTCAGGAAGATTTGTGTACTTTGGATTAGACAGGTGATCTAGAGTAGATGCCAAGGTGTCTGTATGATTAGGAGGTGTTCTGACATGTTTATCTAGAGAAGACATCTCATAATATACAGTGGAACTCATTAGCACTTCTATTTCTTATCTGCCTAAGTACAATTATCAGCACTCTCCCCCATAAAGTCATACTGAATGAACATTTTTTGTATAATTAGGGAGTTTTTCCATACCTCTGTTTTTGCTGAATAATTCTGACACTTCACATAACAGTGCAGTTTTAGGACAGCATTTACCTGTATTTTATATTTCTCTCTTGTAAAGCTAAATCACAACAATTTCTTGCAGTATCACACTGTTTGTATCCCCAGTGCAGTAAATGTCATTCAGCTGAACAGCACTGATGTTGAAGAAGTCCCAATAGTCTGTAGATTTACATCTCCTCTGTTTTGGTTTCATACTTCTTCAGCTGATAACTGCTAATTAAAGTAAGACATGGGTAAGGGATTTTTGAGGACTCCTTGTCCTGGTGATAGCATGAGGACATACATCCTGTGCTACAGTAGTTTATGAATTAGAAGCTTCTGCACAGTGCTACTTTGTTCCAGAGCCAGTGGGATCATGTAAATCTGCAACAATTCCTGCTGTGCCCTTTGTGTGGCCTCCTCGCTCTGCCTTCCTGGGAGCAGCGCAAAGCCTCTGGGACGGGGCTGTGCCAGGAGTCTGTGGGAGCTGCGCTCGTACCTCGGATGCTGCTGCTGCTGCACTCTGGGCTTGGGTGTTTCAGCCACAGCAGAGGTTCCTTCAGCAGTCACTGCCAGTCCCTTTCCCTTGTGTCTCCACACATGCACAGTCCTAGGAGCCCTCTGTGCCCTCCTGTGGCTGTGGGAAGTTGACCACTGAATAATTGTCACATTTTATTTATCTCTGATGAGCTCTTTGTTGTCTTGCTGTTTGTCTTTCATCTGTCACCACATGACATTTCCATTTCATTGCTAGGTGAATGAGTGTTACATGTGTGAATCTTTGGATACTTTTGTTTCCTTTTAAATTAGATCTAATCAATGATAAAATACAACTATTTTTTATTGTGTGTGTTCAAATGCTCATGAGACTTTATAAATATATTCCCACATATAAATAGCACTAGTCAGCCTGATCAAGTCTCTCTGCACAAGGAAACAGACTCTGTGACTGCAGTGTGTCTGACTGGCTCCCAGGCCCTCCCCCCTCCCAGGGACGGTTGAACCTCTTGGCCAGTTCTGCCGTCGGCAGAAGGGTGGTGGTCTCAGGGACACTGAACTCCCCCACATTTCACGAAACACCCAGTTAAAAGCCCCACAGAAGCTGTTTGAAGCTTGGTCCTTTGCTGTCTGCTAAAGACCCAGTTCGAGTTACTGCCCTGCAGGCAGCCAGGCTTCCTCAGACCGCAGCTCATGGATAACTTGTTTTACTGTAACAGTCAGGGGCGCGACCAGAGGATCTGCTTGTGGGATTTAGCAGAGGGACGGACTTCAGTGACGGATTCTGTCTTCACGGAGCATGTGGGATTCTGCAGATGTTCTCTGTTAAAGGTGGCACAGGGACGCTGGCTAATGGCCATGGCAGCCAGAAGCCTGGAGGAGGTAGGAAGTGTCTCTTTCTCTGTGCTTGAGAGGTTGCTTTTGGTACTGAAATGACATAGTTGAGGAGGGGAAACATCAGTGCCGTTGAATTCTCTGCTCAAGAGCAGGCAGGACAAGAAATCTTTGGGGGTTTTAATCACTAATTTTACTGCCACAAGGATTAATGAATTATATAACTCTTGCTTTAATAACAAGGATACCATCCCAAGATTTGTCTGGCATTTAAGTGTTTGCAGCTGCTGCTGATCTAATGTAGGAGTTTTGAAAACTCTTCTGGTGCTGCTGAATACTGGGAATGAGAACCCTTCTGGGGAAGTAATGGTCAGCAGGTCTGTCCTCAGATGGAAGAGCTTATATTCTATCTGCAGCTGAATTTGGTTTGGCAAGAAGAGGGGAGGTGCAGGTGATTTGTAATGCAATACATGGTCTTTCACCCCAGGCTAATTCCTTACGTGGAACTGGGGCTGGAAATAGTTGAATTACTATTACCAGCCAGAGGTTTGCTCTGTGTGAGATAATTGCAGGGGTCGTTTCAGTTCCTACTGGATAAGTCCGTATCTAATGCCACTATCACAGCACTCACTGACTGACAGCTTTGTTGGCAATGTCCACTTCTGCTTTGTAGAAATTAGTTTTGTTTTCTAGAATGGACTGTTTGAGGACATCACACAAAAATATTACCAAATACTTGACATCAAAATACCAAAATGATGAAAAAGAAAAAGGTGTCATAAATATGAAAAGAAATAGTGTAGCTAAGTGCAAATTGCTGATGAGCATGAAAGTTCCCATGCTTTTCTCTACTATAGGCTGTGTATCTTGAAACTGAAATTTGCATATTTTATACACAAAGTAATAAGTGCCTGTATTGCAAGAAAATGTGATTTTATTGTACACAAGTTAAGCACATATTTAAGTACTTTGTTGACTCTAGCCAGAACGTTCAGCCTTTTATAGAACTAGATATGCCTGCGGACACAGCCACTGCACCAGTAAATACAACCATTCTATGTCCCATACCTTGTTGTGATCAAACAAAGAACTCCCTCCATTTTACAGCAGTGCTCAATAATACTGAAGTTAAACAAAATTGACAAGTGCATTCTCATGTCAGCCAGAGAAGTCGCAGTAATGAAGAATTAAATAATCAACTGACCCAAACAGAAGATGTTTACACTGGTGTCACTTACAACTCATCTCTGTTTTATTCTCATTTGTTTGCTTGGGTCCTGCAAGAGGAGAATGATTTGCAGTCTCCTGAGTTAGAAGAGTTCCACTCTGTGTGTGAACCTTTGCATTAGAACTGTGTCATGTTTCAATAAATTCACATAAGCTCCCATAATATATAGTGCTTCCAAATAGGCAGCACTGTGTGAGACACAGTACATTTGCAGCTTATGATTAAAATTAAGACTTAATAAGTGTTTATGCTTGGCTGGTGTCCAAAAAAAGAGTAATTTTGTCTTAAAGGAGGTTCAGTCCATAAATAATGAGATCTGAACAGGCATTTATTTGTTCATGATTGCATTTAAATCACCAATTATGAGTTACATGCACTTTTCTTGCCAATTTGCCAGAAACATGTTAAAAGCTTTATTAATGTGAAAAAAAGAAAGGGTGTGTTTCCTTGTGGCCAGTTTTAGCCACCCAGGAACACTATTAACCTCAGGCAAAGGCAAATCTTTCTCCTATTAAGCAAAACCAATATAAACACGGAACTTCAAGTTTTAGGTTACAGTTGTCAAAATATGTGAAATAGTATTTATTTCTAAGGCTCAGTTGCCTTAAACGCAGACAGTCGCTGGAACTGTCAATCCAGTTCAGGCAGCAGCTCATGCCTGCCTGTCTTCTGCACAAAACCTTTCTTATTGTTTTTCTTTGGCCTTTGCAAGCCCAACTGTAGCCCTTGTACCAGTTCATCTGTTTTTAGTCAAGGTAAAGCAAAGAAGGTTTGTTTTTTTCTTTTAACCTGCAGAAGTGCATTTATCACTGCACACTTAGCCTTCTTTATTACATAAAAGTTGCAATTTTGGTCTTGCCTAGGAGGCAATGCCCTTTGGAGAGACAGTGATGAAAGAGAGAAGATGAGGGCAGGTCATCTTCATATTTATAGCCCGTTTCCTGCCACAGCTAACTTGGTCATTATGTTGATAGCAAGAAAGTTGATGAGAGAAAAGCATCTTTTGTTAAGAGTGTAGCTCCAAAGAACCAGAATTCCCAGATGATCAAACTTTGGTCTGTTCCCAGGTTTGGTCTGCAGACTGGATGGCTCTTGGCTGTAGCCACTATTCCTCAAATCTGGAGAACAGTTTCCTGCCCTATTGCTCAGTGGCTTTTGAAAGCATTCTGTATGTTATGTGCAGTACACTGTACTCACAGTCCTAGAGTGCAGCTGGCTTTTGGCAGGCTAGCTGACAGCCTCTAGAAATAGGAAGATGTTCTGGCAAGCTTTGAACTAAAGGTTTGGGATTGGAAAGCCATCACAGCTGCCATGGTCTTGATTGATGATTCCCAGAGGAACCATATTTGGGTAATACCTCATCTCAGATGCTTAAGGAAATTCACACCACTGGGGCTGCCCAACAGCGCTGTTGAGCTCTTGCACATTCTGGAAGAGCCTAGAGTGGCTGGTGATGCTGGATTTATCAAATGGTTCGAGTTGCTTAATTTTACCACATAATGCAGACCATTGTTTATTTAATTAGAAGGAAAGATCACCTTGCTGATTAAGTATACATGTGAGAAATAGCAACATTCCTGGCAGCAGGTTTTCGATACCCAAGAGCTTCTGTTTCTCCAGAGTTCCAGGCTTGAGAACCAGCCCAGAGTTGAGGCACTGCTGTGTCAATCAAGAGTCTCAAAATCTTCCAGTGCCAAACTGAAAAGGCAGACTCCCCTGATCTTGCCTGCCATCATCCCGAGGTGGAAATGAGCTACTTCCTTGGCAGAGAAACAACTTGCCCAATGTTTAAAAAAAAAAAAAAGAAATCAAAACCACCCAAACCAGGTCTGTGATTCATTACCATCTGAGCAAGCAGCAATGGAAACTGCTCTGTAGAGAGAACAGGTGTTTAACATAGCATTGTCTGACGCTGCCTTAGACAGGGTCAGACAACATTGTGTTAAAAATACCTGTGTGCAGACACTGCTGCAACCAGTCTTAGCCAGTAGTGGGATTATGATTTGTTAGTGCAGTCAGCAGTAAATAAAATAAATAATTTTGCATGTATACACTGCCTCTATTTCCATGCAAGCTGTGTGTTACCGTAACAGCACAGAGGAGAGAATGCAAGTGTTCACAGGTGAATACAGCAAAAAAATTAGCAATGGAGCTGGAAAAAAGGAAAAGAAAGCAGGGGGGTGTGTTCAGATGAAGCGGTCTGCAGTATTGTCTGTTGTATGCACAGTGTCATCCACTGTTTGAAAAGAAGGCTGTAATTAAATAGAAGAGTGGAAGAAGAGGATGTGTTCATTCTAGAAGTTTTGTCTGGCCTTACCTAAAACAATGCACTTCCTTAGCTAGCTATAGATTCCCCTTACAGCTCCAACTTAGCATGCATTTCTCAGTTTCCTCCAGACAGTTTTTACTGGAAGAGCTTATACTAACCTTAATCACCTTAAAAGACTTGTGTTTTTAACAACAGAATTTTGACCTGGAGCCTAACCAACTCCTCTTGTTTTTCTGATGTCAGATTCAGATTTTGGAGCTGCCATCCAAGACGTCAGTCTGTACCTTGAAGCCAGAGGTGGGTGCCAAGCTGGGCATGCCCATGTGTCTGAAGTTATGGCAGGTAAGGCAAGAGTGTCTGCTAATTGTGAAATGTTTTCCCTGTGATTCATTTTATATGAAGCACATGAATCTTTCTTCACTTGGATTTTGATTTATAATCAAACCAATCAAGTAATTATACTATTAAAGGGGGGAAAGATTTGTGAACATCCTTAATGTAACTTTCAGAGCTTTCCAAGCTTTAATGGAAGATTTGCAAATGCTCAAGGAAAGCTTTGTATCCTTAGGATAGATACAGCTTTTGCATCAATCAAGAGGAAAATGAGTGACTTACCAAAGCCAGTTGTTTGATATGGTTTCTCACTGCATTAAGAATGATGAAAAATGTTTGGGTTTCTTAAAAACAGTGGTTTTAATGGCAGATTCCATTCACTTCAGTGCCCTCAGGATGAGGAAACACTAGATGAACATTTCTATTCCAGACATGCAATAGGATCAAAATATTTACGGTGGTACTGACTACAGACAAAAAGGTAAATAAAAGGAGTTAGTAAAAAACCACAACATTTGCAAAATATTTGGCAAATAATGTTAATGGGCTGCCAATAGTGAACACAAGTAGTACAAAAAGGTGGCAGTAGAGGCAGAAAGGTGTTCAGGTGATTGGCTTGAAATCTTCAGAGAACTGGTGGCAAAGCTGATTCCCATGTAGCCCCCTGACAACACAGTGCTACAGGTCTACAGGACCAACTGAGCTGATGGCAGGAGTGTCATTCCTGCAGGCTTATTGGAACATTTGTGTTGGTTTTTGTTGAAAATATTATCAATCAAAGTTTGAGGCCTCAGTGTCTTCATCCAAGATCCTGAACCAACAGAAATCGGAGGAATTCAGTTGCTGACTTCAGACAAAAGCCAAGAGAGGACACAGTAGAAGTTCCATGCTGTAATTAAAAACTAGGGGGGGAAAAAAAAAAAAAAAAAGGAGGAAATTAAATAGGCTGATTAGGCTTTTGTTAAACAAACTTTCTCCCAAAAATGTTCAGTGCTTGATGAAATGAATGGGTCTTTCTGTCTCCTTGACATTTTTTAATAAGATGGAGATAACTGTGGAAATGTTCAGTGTTGAAAATTTTTCTTGCCTGTATAAGAAGTCTTCTGTCTTGCCGTATTTTCTACATGCATTAATATTTATATTCCTCTAGGAAGCAAAGCAGGTGCAGAGTCTTAATTTTATAGTTTTTTATTTTGTTGCCAGTGGGGATAAAGCAGAGGACTGGGAACTGGGAGAAGTGAATTATTCCATGCAAATTCTGACTTGAGAACTCACCATAACTTCCTAGACTGCAAGTATAGATAATCCCTTAGAGTCTCACAGCTGTATTTGCTCTTTTACAAATGTGTGCAGGTTGGTTTAAAGGCACGAGGAAGAGGACACCCTTAAGGGAAATAATTGCATGTGGTATACCAAACTGATGCTCTGCATTCTGTTCTGTGGTTGCACTGGAAGTGGCTCTCTGAGTAACCCTGTAACCATAAACCAGGAGAACACGAGCTCACCCAGCTGCACCCCTTCCTGAACAGAGGCCCTCCAGGATTTCTTTGTACATGGCTCTGTTGGGCAATACAGACATACCCAGGAGATGAGCACTCCCAGCCCAGCACTCAAGGGTTGCCTAAGAGACTATTTGATGTTGCTTATGGCACAGAAAATTAACAAGTTGAAACAGAAGCTGACAGGGAGAGCCCCATAAAGGTCTGAAGGAGGAGTGATCAGGGTGGCTGTCCAGTGAGAGTTTGGGGGCTGCAGCCAGGTACCATCATATTTTTCTGCAATTCAGGGAAACAACAAACCTCCCCAGCAGCAGCGTGAATGAGAAACTTTACTACAGAGCAGAAGGCAGCTGAGGTTAGGCTTGTGGATTAAGCCTCAATGGCTACTCCTAAGCAGTCATAAAGCTTGCAGCTATTTATTTTGCTCTTTTGAGCGTTTTCCCCCCTTATCTTTCTGTGTTTGTCCTTAAAGATATTAGTTCATTCACTTTGTTTTGAAGATTCATGTTCTTAAATACATTGTCCCTTCAGTTTCACACCTTCCTGCTATTACTAATTGGGTGGAGTAGGATTTGTAGGAGTAAGAATAGTCTTCCCTTAAATTTTTTGCACTCCTTGGGGAAGGCATCATATTGCATAATAATGGTGCAAACAGAATAATTCAACAAGAATAATACATGTCGAAACTGGAAATGCCGAGTTATTACTTTATATAAACTATTGCAATTATTCCTGTTGAGTTGACAGCAGATCACCTTTTCTTCCTTCCTTGACAGTTATCCAAATGCAACAACAAAATGTCCTAGTTAGGAAGAGCAGTGATTTATAATTTAATTTTTCTACTGAAACAGAGCATGAATGGTGAAACTTCTCTCCAGCAGTGTCTATTACTGGGAATTGAAATAAATAGGCCGTTGTGAAGCACTGCTTGGTGAGTCCAGGCTCAGACCAAGAGCTCCACTGATCTTTCAATAACTTTTATTGTTTTAGTTCATGTACCCATTGAAACATTACACTTCAAATGGTTGTGAAAGTCAGGAAGAAGTAGTGTGGGAGACATGCATTTCATAGGAAACAGTGTTTGGGTTTTAAAACACACCAATCTTAGATCTCACTTGCAAATCATACTTTTTCAAATCTAAAGTGCAATACCCACAGCACAAAAAAAGAAAGGGTTTTACTTGGCATTTCCGAAATGCTGAGCCCTCACCTGTCTCTCCACCTGCATAAGGGTGAGGAGCTCCTCTGGAAGCCACCATCCCACTTGGAGAAGGGAGAGGAGCTGACCTGTTTCACTGCTTGATGACAGCTACAACTTCTGCGAAACCCCAGCACAGAGAAGTCTTGTGCTCACAGAAGAGCAGCACAAATAATTGTGGGGGTTTTTTATGCTTGAACTGGGGGCTTTCTTTACACTTAAAAGTACTATGAAATACTCAGGTTTGCTTTGAAGATTTTAGCCTTTATTAAATACAAATAAAATCTAGAATACTCATTTTATTGAGATTTTTTTAAAACTTTTTTGATATCTGGCATCAAAAACCAGATATTTTTCATCCAAAATATCTGATGAGTTAACATTAATTCACGTGTATCTGACACAATGTATGAATCAATGTACTCATTGCTCTGATGTTGTATTATTTTAGCAAATCAAAATTTTGACAGAAAAATTGTTCATAATTCTGGGCACTGTGAGAAAGCTGTTTTGTGTGCCTTTCTAGCCAGAGCGTGCTCCCTACCTTTTCAAAGGAAAAAGGATCTTAGGAAGGAAGAAGGCTCCTGCAAGATTCCAGGTGTGGACAGACCCGTTCAGATCCCAGGTGTTCACAGACCCATTCAGAAGGATGATACAGGGGATTTCCTACATTTACAAGGACTTCCCCTTGGTTTCCTTTTTAAGGAGCACTGTTGTTCCCTGCTCAGTGAGCTCTATTCCTGAAACACTTTTCTAGGCTGAGGAAGGCTGAGGAAGCACATGAGGCTGGTACTCAGCAGTCATGTTACTCAGACCACCCATCTCTTGTTAGTTTAACTCCCCCCAGAACACAGAATAACCAGTGGGAGAACAGTCTAGACCAGTAGTAGAGGCAGTGAGCCTTTGGCCACTAGAGGTTTGTATCATGACACTGACAGCTAGCAAGTTTGACCTCATTCAATAACATGATACAGGTAAAAATTAATTCTTTATGCCCTTTACCTTAATTGAATACTGAGCAAACAAATCTTGTAGGAGCAGACACTGTTTGGCAAGATCTGAATATCCTGTTGGATTCATTTCTTAGATGTGCCTACATGAGGTGGTAATAATCCCAATGTCTATTTTGATACTTTTTTTCCTATGAAAGAAATAACTGGCATTAAGAGTTTTTTTAGTTGTTTTTCGTTAGGGATTTGCATCTTCACTCTCATAACCAGGTACTGCTTATAGGGTCATTATTCTTTTGGCTGGAGCAATGATGAATATTTTCCTTAAGTGTGACATGTAATCCAGTAATGTTCCCTTCTTTGAGTTATTTCAGAGGCTTAAATAAATTAGGTGTCTGCCCAGGGTGCCCTGCCCTTTGGCCTGTGACATCATTAATCAAAATAGCTTTCAATTGGTTACAGTGGAACTCGGGCACCGTTAACCCTTTGGTGACTGGCCCAGCGGTTCCTGCTGGGAGGTTCAGTGTTTACCTTCAAGCACTGTGGGGTGCTTGGGCAGGCAATCCCTCTGTGCAGTCCTACACTTGGCAGTGTGAAACTGGAATCCCTGACCATGGCACTTCTCAATGCCCACACAGGCTTGTATTGCTTGAGAGTAACTCAGCTGCTCTGTGGAATTGTTTCTATGAAGCACAAACAAAGTTCAGACCATGAAGTAAAGCTCCTGAAAATTCCAGGCAGGCTCTTTTCAGGTGCTGTAGAGGGCAATAGTTTGGATTTTCAGAGAGAAATTTTCTCCCTCTGCGTATGTATATATATGTCTGTGTGTGCATGTTAAATATGTATAATATATATAAAATTAAGAATTTGATATATAGATATAAAACCTGTAAGTGCATATTACATAGTAATGCTTTCTGTAAGTGGATGGAGTATCAAAATTTTACATTCAGACATCTAAACATTTTTTCACTTCTACAGCAGTCAGCATTTTAATTTATTCTCTTGGTGCTTGGACTAAAACTTACCCAGGGATAGTCATTTTCTTAACAGACTATTTGCTTCTCAAACAATTTTATTTTTCCTTAATCAGCTCAGCTGTGGTTCACAACCTGTGCTTCTGGCTGGCTATGAAGATGGATCAGTTGTCCTCTGGAATGTGTCAATGGGAAAAGCGTTGAGCCAACTCGTTTGCCACCAGGAGCCAGTGATGAGCCTTGACTTTGACTCGGAGAAGGCCAAGGGGATCTCGGGCTCATCTGAAAAGGTGCTTAGCATCTGGAGCCTCAATGAGCAACAGAACCTCCAGGTCAGGATCACTGGCCCTCTAGTGTCATTTATCCCACTTTGCACTAACAGTTTGATAGACTAAAAAAATATTTAGTCATGAAGAGGAGTTGTTGCAGATCTCTAGCTAATTAATCACAGACTGGTTAGAATGTCTGTGCTATGTGACTAGACTCAGCAAAAGATGGTGAGGATTTAAAAAAAAAGAAAAAAACCCTCTCTCACATGTTTCTGGTTTTACCAAAGTTGCAACAGGCACACAGGCCTAGCATTACTCAAGCCATTGCCTCTGTATCTTCATTTATCACATTGGTAGTATCCAGCTCTCAGAATGTCCTAAACATTATAAATGAGTTATAAAAATGAGAAACAAAGGATTGCTTTTCAAAAGGTTCTGCTTGAATGGCTATAGCGAGCTTTCCACTGTGGGAAAGACAGAAGTATTCCATTAAATACTTCACAAGCAGAAAGAGTAGGAGTAACCCAGCTAGCATCAAGAGGACATGAGGTTTAGGCACCCAGCTTCTTTTGGCACCTACAGGGCCCAGCCAGAGACACAAAATCAGGCAATTGGCTGCCCCAGTTCATGTCTGAGCTGTGGTAGTGAATGGCTGGGTTAGAAGGAGGTCGTGTAACCCCCAGCTCAGGCTGTGCGAGGGATGGCCATAAATACTGCTTTCATCTAGACAACTTCAGGAAGTGTTCCAACAGTTCCAAGGCATTAAGTACAATCTGGAAATGCAGTTGTGGAAATAAATGCAAAAAGGCTCAGGAAAATTAAAATGGCCCAAGCACTGCCAGGTGTTTTAATCTTTTTAAAGTGGCAGTTGTCCCATGAACAGTGGAGAGGGCCTGAATCAACCCCTGTATGCCCACATCATCCTTGAGATCTGCTGGACACACCAGTTCATGGAAGAACAATAACTGCAGTTTTTGTGGAGATTCTTTTTTAAGTAGTACAGCAAGTTAATGCTGTTTTCTGAATGGTGCTACAGGAAGAAAAGCACATGCTGGGACATCCAATGGGTGACTCATCACCTGGAGGATGAATAACCCCCAGCATCCACTGTAAAGGTGTGGAATCTGTGAGGCATCACCACAGCACCTGCATTTCTGGGGGGGTGCAGGGCACTAAGTGTGTGTGGTGCAAACACATCCAATCCCAGTGAAGTTTGGAGGACATGGCACTCACTGGGGAGGCGACTGAACCTTAATACATGACACAACACCACATGAAAGAGGCACTTTACATTCTGAGTAGTGAAAGTGTCTGATACACAGTTGTCATGGTTTGGGTTTGCTGGTTTTTTGGTCTTGTTTGCCCTCCTCTTGCCCAGCCTCCCCCTGCTTGTGTGTACCAGGTGTCCTTAACTCAGCAAAGTGGAAGGAAGGTGAGCAATCCCAGTAAGAAACTTGGTATTCAGACTTGTTCTCTAAAGTCAAGGTGACAGAAATCTGACATCATGACAGGCTTCTTAAATTTTCAGATACTCTGGTGGTAGAGAGAAAGCTGTTCTTTCATATTAATTATAGCAAAACTTTTTTCCTAAAGTCAAAGAAAATATTGTTCTTTACAGCACATTTCACTTATGAGTTAACTATGCAGGGCTACAGGTACAACTCGCAGGAGAAACAGTTGTTCACCTGAAATATTCCAAGACGTTGTTTTTCACAACAATTCAACAAAAATGGTATTCCCATTCCCAGGGGATGTAAGATTAACTACACCTTCAACACCTCACACTGAGAGATAGAAGCTTGCCTCAGAAGAAATTTAAATACCAAGTATTACAAGCTACAAGCAATGTTCCTGTGCTTCATGGGAGCATGAATGCCCTAAAAAAAAAAAATGCATCTTTCATACAAGCACTAGAGATTGTCAAGGACATAGATTAAGTTTTTTTCCACTATTGCATTAATAATATAAACCAGATGGGGATTTTTTTCCCTGACATTCCAGGTACCTGAGGTAATGGTAGACGTTGGAAAGCCACTCAGTGGCACATTATTTTTATTCTAAAAGGTTTTAATAAGTAACTGTGGTGCACAGCTATCTGCCGTTGGAAAAGGAATGATGCAATGATGGTACTGCAGCTCTGTTTTAAGTGGCAGTGTTCCAGTGTGTCAATGAATAGATGATGAAGGTAACTGCAGAGTTTATTGCTATGGGGAAAGTTTGTATTGTCTTCTACAGGAAAGTTGCTGAAATCATCACTGTCAGCAAATGACAGGATTGGTTTTGAGCCTTCTGATTCTGATGAGATAGTGCAATTATGTGATGATGTTTGTGGTAGAATGTAGGAGGTAAACAGCTTCTGCAGGTGAATAAACAAAGCAGAACTAAGCAATCTGATAACCAGAGGCTTCTTTTTATATGACAAGAAAAAAATCCTGTAAGCTGTAATATAAGTTTTGTTGGTTGGGTTGCTGAGGCTTTTCCCCAAAATGCTGAAGCTTAGTCTGCTAAGAATATAATAATAACATAATAAAATATTAAATATTATATAATATTTAATAAATATAAAAATAATGAAAAAAACAAAATAATATTTTGGTTATTTTCGTAATACGAAGAGGGCTTAAAGATATGCTTTGGGTGTAGATGCAAGTGTCCTTGGTTGTGACTGGCTGAAAGCAGCTCACCTGTTTTTACCTCTTTGTTTTCTTAATTACAAGCTGGTTTTCTGGTTAAGAAATTATATTGGCATTTGACTGCTGTAGTTAGTGACTTACTGTAGTAAGTCCTGGGATGGTACAAATTCTGGCAGTAGGATTATACCTGGCTGCATATACCTTGAGCAAGTTTTCTCCTTTGTGTTGCTTTTCTCTCTCTCTCGTATTTGCAGATCATGCACAAATGCCCACTGTTCCCTCATGTTCCATAGCCAACAGGCATCACCATTACAGGCTTCCTTTTCAAGCTGTAGCTTGCTGAGGACATGCCATTTCTCCAGTTGCCCTGATTGTGCTGTATGGATCTTGCCCACATAATTGACATTAATGATGGGAGCACCACACCTGGGATTGGTTATAGCCATTAGCTAATAATCTCAGTTACAGAGTAAGACCCATCCTACATTTGCCAGGCTGGTGATGTAAAGAATAAATCTTTCCCTTGCCAGGACATTTACACCAACAAAAATTCCACTGAGGCCATGCTGCATTAGGCCTACCCTGGGGAGTTTGGAGCACATGTACTAACAAAAAGCACAGGTTTTACAGTAGCAGTCCCACCAGGAGGCCCCCATACAACATGCTATTTCTCATTAGGCTTGATGAGCAAAGCTTGCTGTCCTGTGTTCTGAATTCATTCATGTCATCTTTGAAAAAGAATAGAACACGTAAGAAGCATGTCAAGTTTCATTCACCCTTTTGTCTTACCAAACTGCACAGCTCTTGCTGTTTGAGTAGGTGGCTGGGCAGTTCTTATGTAGTTGAAAAATAATTGCTTATGACTTTGTGCCTGTTAGGTTCCAAGATGTGTTCAGCTGCATCTGAAACCAACCTTGACCAACATTTCTGGAGTTTTCTACATTCAGTATAAAGGTTAAAATTATCTGCAATAATATGTCTTTATAACCCTGTATTAGCTATGCATCATGGAATGTTCTTCATGGAGGAAAGTTGCTCAGGTGTGGTGTGCTTGTCAATCCCTTCCTGCCTCAGACAAACAGTAAACACCACACAGTGATTTAAAACAGGCACTGGATGATATTAAGCTTTGGTACAGGGTAGCTACAGACTCAGGCTTAAGGAGACAGTGGCATTAACATGTCATTTCCAATAGTACTTACAAATAACAGCAGTTCAGGGCCAGCTTTATAAGCCAAAGGTGTTTTCCTCATTGTGACAGAAGCTGAGCTGTTCCAATACACACACACACACACTTGTGTGCATATTCCACATGTGTTTCAGAGGCAGATTGCTCACTCAGACAAGTAGCTTGAGGTGAGAACAGCAAAGGGGAGTTACTTTGAGCTTTGTGCTTCAAGGGAAACTCATGTCAGTGAAGAGTAAACTTTTATTTACAGGGACTGAGTTCTGTGCAGCCCCAGTGCCTCCCAAAGAAGCCTAATGCCTCCCAATTGAATTATGCCCCCTGAAACCTGTGCCCCGGTAGTCCCCAAATGGTAACAAAAGGCTTCCAAGACTGAAATCAGGAACTTGGCCATAATCCCCTCCTTGGATTTGGTGTAAATAGAAGTCTCTTGAGAAGCAGTACTAGAAATACAGATTTCCTGACACTGTAACCCAATTCCTGGAAGCATTCCTTTCTCAAGACTGAGGTAAATGCTACCACAGCTTATTGGGGGTTTTGTGAGGGGGCCACAGTAGTAGAAGTGAGTAGCAGGTAGGTTAAACATCAGCTCAGAAGGGTCTCAGCCTGGGAATATTGCAGAAGCAGGTAAAATATATGGCCTTAGCTCTGAACATTGCAGCTCATACAAGAACAGCTGGAAGAAAAGGGCAAAGCTGTGCTCAGAATCTTGATTCAGAGCTTCACTTGTGACAGAATATATATAGCTTTAAATGCAAAATAAACTAAAAGCATACAAGAGTTGGGTTTATTTTGTGAAAATTGTTCTGGAGATGGGAGGTTCAAGTTAAGGTGTTTTCTGTCTCTATCGTTGTTCACACCAAGAGCCATCCAGCACATGGTGAAAAGCTCCACATTCCCTGTGTGACACTGGTGTGTTGGGTGGGCACAAAACCTGCTGAAGTGCCAAAGTATTCCTTTTCCTCCTGTTTTGAACAACTAGAACTCATTTGTAACTTTTTCACAAAGGTTTACAAAACACACGAACTTGTCAACGCTGGCATATCTGATATCACCATCCGTCCAGACAAGAAGATTTTGGCAACAGCAGGGTGGGATCATCGCATCAGGATCTTTGGCTGGAAAAAGCTGAAGCCCTTAGCAGTGCTGGACTATCACACAGCAACCGTCCACTGCGTGTCCTTCTCAGATCACAGCAACCCCCGGGAGAGACTGCTGGCAGCTGGCTCCAAAGATCAGCGCATCAGTGTCTGGTCCATATATGCTCAGACGTGACACATCCTGCACTGCCAAGGACTAGGAAAGCAGGACTGGTGAAGCAATTCCTTGCACTGGAATTCAAACGCGCCTGTGGGGAAGTGGCAGAATCTGTCTCCAGGCTGAAGTGAGAGTCCTAGCTTAATTCTTATGCTGCTTGTTTAATCTATAAGTTTTGTCTTCCATAGAGGAAAGTGAATTTTAAAAATTCATAACAAGCAGAACAAGGCCAGTCACAAACAAAGACCAAAGCTGCTTTGGGTTCTGCTACGGGTTTTGCAACACCTTTCCTTTGGCAGGTTGCTGACATAACTTGTGCCAATATCTTTTGTAAAAAAGGACTGGAATCCCTCAAACTGCAGTGGGGGCAGAATATATCTGTTTGTAAGTCATTTATGTATCCAAGAATTTGAATCAGTGTAAAACATCACTCTTTCTTGAAAATTTATACCCATTAAACCACCTCCAGTGGTTTCTCATTGTCAGTTACTTTTTCTTCCCCTTAACTGAAAGGCTATCAGAACACCCTTGATTTGTTCACACTTCTGTCAGTTTCTAACTTAAACCAACAGCCAGGAATGTGACTAGGGATGGCCTTCGGCATTTATGAATTTCATTATGTCTCCTGTCACCTCAAGCCTCACAATTAATCACAAGAAAGAAAGGGAAAAAATCTTCCCCAGCATTGTGCTGCAAAGCTATGTAAAGCCTTTTACAGAGCCAGTGCTAAATCCTTTCCATAGACTGATGAGCTGAAGGATTTAAACTCGGCAATCCAATTAGCGCCCTTCTCCTTGGAGAGTTAGGGCTAAGTTTCAGCATGGCAAGTCTGAAATTCAGCTGCACAACTCCCATTAACATTTAGGGGAATGCCATGGGTAAATCCTTCTCCACACAGTGCGAATGTTCCATTAATTTGTCATCTCTACAGTCATGGAAGCTGAAATTCATTCATGAAGTTTTTTTTGTTTGACTCACAAAACAGCATTCGCATTCTTCTAAAGCATATTAGACACACACCAGTGTGCTGAGAGCCAGGGTACTGCTGGATTGGTGACAAAGCTGCAGTGATAACTGTGTCCAGGCTGTGCACTGTTGATACTTTATTGGAAATAATTGTTTCTGCTCCTGTAGAGAGGTGGAAATCTGAGAAAAAGTGACCAAAAGTGAATAGCAACATCAAAGACTTTAGAAATTATTTCAGGAAAAACACACACGCAAATTAAAGTCTGAGTCTGTTATCCAGCTGTGCCTTACAGACAGAATATTGCTGGACTGAAAGCCTTAAGCACCCAGCCTGATGTTCTTTACATTAAAACACAGAACCAGGATACTGTTGCCAGGCTTTTCTAAATAAAACGTGGGCTTACACATTTTAGAGTGTGGTGACACTTTAAATAATGCATTTCTTTGATTATTTCTTTACTATTCAGTAGCTGCATGGAGGATCACATTGCAGTTGAAAGTTAAAGCCTAATTTTGAGTGATCCCGAGTCAAGGGGAGGTGACGGTGTTCATTACATCTACCAGACAGAGTTGCACATCTCCACCCATCATCCACCTCCCACACAGAAGAGGAGCTTCCCCCACTGTACAAGCAGCTCCAGCGCCAGCCTTGTGGAGCTTTCTTTTTGTTGTTTTTCCCCTTTCTCAAAGTAGGTCAGAAGTGACATTAAAAAACCCAATGAAATAAATAAATGGTGGTGCGACGATCTGTCCTAGGGACTTTGCACAGAGATTTCCTTTTGCTGTGCTCTCTGGTACAACACCACACACGTGGCCCAGAGGGTGCCAGCATTCCTCCTCCATGGCAGCAAACAGCAGCCTGCTGTTGTGCAGTTTCCACAGAACTGAGCTGCAGGTTTAATGCCCACCCAGCAGGAAAGGATGCCAGGGCTCACCTATCTTGGGTAAATGGTTAATGTAGGAAACAATTTTTTATGTCAATATTCTGGCATTGGAAGAGTGGCACCCCTCTGGAAAGAAGGATTAATACCCCATGCCTTAATAAGAGCATTATTAGATCAGACCCCAAAAATTAGGAATTCTTGAGTATATTTTCTCTGAAAATCGCCATTTACTGTCAACATCTGTATCTAAAGCAACTAGGGAGACTCATAAGGGGTGTTTAGATTTACTAATGAATCTTTTGGAAAATACTCTAAAGATTACTGGGTGCTTATATCTAACTTACTGCCTTTTGCTGGGAATTAAATATTTATGTTTGTCTTACTAGGTAGATTTAAAAACAAACTTAGTCATGCAAGTACAAATTGAAAATGAGGACATGAACTGCATCTCAGACACACAGGTGAGAGTTTCATCAGCTTCAGGAGGAAGGACACAGATTGCAGGAACATGCAGAACAGACCCATCCTTTACTTCCCATTACCAAAGCACTATTTATGCCATACTTTTTCACAATACAATTAATTCATTAACAATTTATATCACTACTGATTTTAATTAAACACCCAGTAAACAGATTTTTCTTTCATATGATACTTTCCTTGAAATGAACAACCAGACTACACTAGTTTCATTTAAAATTGAGCCTAAATGCCATACTTTAATTGTGAATTACAGTCTTCTAACAGTTTATTTGCCTAAGGAACTAACCTAGACTTCCCCAAAGAAGAATGATTTCCAACAGGAAAGACAGTCTGTATTAGTATAGGCTGTAAAATACAATTGTCTGATTATAACTATAACTGTAAAATACAGATGTCTGCATCTAAGAAATTCACAATTTTTTAATTAAAAAAAAATAAAATTTACAATTGTGCCATGAGCATGGTTGTCACAAGATAGCCACTGACTTGTTAGCAGAAGGTTGTGAGCGAAGAGCCACCTTAAGATGCTGGAGTTAGCTCTGAAATCTCACCTGCCAGAAAGGAACAGGGCTAGCCTGTACCTGGCCTAGAGGATTCAGGAGTGAAGGTGATGACAGCTAAATTATTACAAAAGGCTTCCTCCCAAGAATCACCCTCTTTGGCACCATGAGAGGGAAGAAAGCAACTGGCATTCGTAAAGTAATAGAAATAAATCCCAAACAGCAGCATTTGTGCAGCAATTACATAGAATATTTATCACCACTGGAATGAATGGTGATCTCTGACCCTCTAACATTATTTGCAAATGAATCCATTAGTTACAACTCCTTTCTCTTATCAGTACATGAGCCATAAAGCACTACAGTCCTTAGTGCAGATGAGCAAGTAAAGAGGAGATTAATTATATTTGTAGTAATGAGTGAAAAAGGAAGTAAGCTGGGGGCATGCAATGAGGCAGTTGTTAAATTTAGTCCTTTAGAATGCAATTGCTACAGCCAAAAAATTACTCTGCAGCTTGACTTGGACTGTTGCAAAGGTTTGAGTTTAAAAGAGCAGATTTTTATAGTTAAGCCAATACTGGCTTCTGGACTGCTCTTGTTTTTAGCATATTAAGATGCATCTAGAAAGCCAACTTACAAATTAATAAATCTTTCCTTTAATTCAGTCTGCCAAGAACAAAGATAGAACACTGACTACTGCAGGAGCCATGTTAGTGATGTAAACCAAAGGACTGGGGATTAAACAAGGATTACTGAGTGCTAAATCAATGTGTTTCCTTTTCTGGCTGTGTGTCTGTTGTGTGAAAGTGTGGATCATTGCATAAAACATGGCACATGACTGCCTGGATTAATACTAGACAATGTTACGGCAGTGCTGACACAAAGTTTGATGTTTAAGCATGACAATTGTGCTACCAGGAAAGTGACAGCCATGACTAAGGACAAAGGTAGGGGGGTTTCTGCTAATGTGTAATCTTCTGAAATTCAAGCCCAGGTCTCCCTACTACAGCCTTTCCAAATAAACTTGGCTGTGTTTGTCTATGTCCTACTCTTCTGGGGCATGCTGGAGGTTTATTTTATAATGTGAAGGAAACTATCCAGAATTAAGATCATACTGGGCAGGAGTTGGCAATTCATGTAAGCATCTCACAGTATCAAATTAAATGAAAATACCTCTCAGGAAAGTTTTGCTCACCTGATCAGTGGTCTGAACTACAGCTGTACATCCTATCAGCAGTGCTGTACTGTACTGCTTTATTCTGACCTCTGGAATTTGATTTGCAGTTTGGTTTGCAAGAGGAGGAGAAAGAGGAAGGAAGGGGGTAAATTTAAAACAAAGGAGCAACTTCTCCTGCTGAGTTAGGTGGTAGGAAGACTGTGGAAGGTATGAAGGGCCTTTGAGCAAACTATCAGCAGTGGCCAGATTCTCCACGGGAGAGGGACAAGGATGGCAGGAAGAGTACCTGGCAGAACCATACAGTGATAGGTCTGGCCTCTAAGACTCATACACCAACTTCTTTTTGTCTCAGACATATTTGCTTTTACTTCCCCAGCGTCCTTTTTTAAAGTTGTCAGGAAGTCCTGGAGACCACAATGTACACCTCTAAATAAGCCTGTTTTCACCCAGAGGAGAGTGTATTTATTTCTGTGCTCTGAAGAGTTGTAAAACCAGAAGCTGCAGTGCCACAGGGGGTAACAGCAGGAAGGACTGACGTCCTGAAGCAGCCATGTGCACTGCAGGAGAACCACCCGGGAGTATTAACTCCTCACAGGAGAGTGACACTGCAGTGAAAAAAATATTAATTCTAATAATTCTCTTACAATTTGAAGTTCTAATTATTGAAAAAATAAAAGGGAATAAAAAAAGCATTTAAGTTTAGTTGAGATTACAGCTAAATGCTATTTCCTTCCAGTTTTTATTCTCACTATACATAAACTAGGGCAGCAAAAAAATATAGAAGTCCTCAGATGCTTTCTCGACAGCAATGATCTCTCTTTTCTACCAGGTGCAGGATTGATTGAGCCTGATTATGTCCAGATCAGAATATCTAGCAAGAATGTTCAAATGCTGAGCTATTATTCTGCTCCATAGCTCTGGCATTTCACACATGCAGAAGTACATCTTCCAGGCCCCCATGGCACTGCTTGCTATAAACATGTTCGGACACAGGTAAGAAGGCAGTGGGTGCACTGGGCCTATGGAATAACTTTTAACGTGACAGAGAATGTGGCTGTGGCATTTGTCCTGATGGTAATTTCAAAAATTGCTGATATGAAATCCCAGTGATTGGTGGATGCATTGTTTGTGTTCATGGAAAAGTATCTAGGCTGCTCTTAACATAACACTTAGAGTAAGTATTGCCTCCTCAGATTTTTTTGCCTCAGTTATTTTGATGGCATGCAGACTTGGCATCCTGCTAAACAGAGACATTGAGTCTTTATAGTTTTATCTCTTGAGTCCATCTGGTTTGAAGTAGTTGACAACAAGCAGGAAAGGGAATAGAATGAAAGACTCACTTCACGTTTGCTGAAATAAAAGAAATGTGCAAGGCAGTGCTCAAATAGAACCAGCCTGGGAGAAGGACTGCCTCTCCCCACCCCTCCTCTGCCCTTTCCAGATGACGGCTTTACCTGCAAACCCTCCATTCTCATGCTGGCTCTTGCTGCCCACGGCTGGAGCTCACACCCCAGACAAAGCACAGCTGAAGCAGCTGGGCTGGAGCACTGAGAGAAGGGGAACCAACCATTACCTTCTGGAACAAAGAGCAATGGGAGCACGAAGCAAGTGGAAAAAAATGCAAATGCTGAGCCCCTGCCCATCATCCATGCTAAAACCAGTGACAAAAGCAATAGTGCTAACACTAAGGTGCTTCTGTAAATTTGACAGGTTATTTATGCCGGTTTTAACTTCTTTTTAGTAATTCAAAGCTCAAGGACATCAGTCTGAGTCCCTGGGCACCTGTGCAGTCACTCCTGTGAAGGCAGGCACCGAGCACACAGCAGTGGCACCCAAGGTGTCCTGCCCTGCCCACTGAAACACTCACTGGTTGCCAGAAGGATCGTCAAGGGAGAGGGAGTACAGTACAGGGAAACATTCCCTTTCCTTCTCCATCTCCCAGAGACTATTAAGAGCAGTTCAGAGAGGTGTAGAACCCAGGCTGGAGAGGATGTTGCAGATCACTCACTCTCACAGTGCCCCTCTCACAGAGGGGATGGGAGGCTGTCCTTTGGCAGCTCCAGTTGGAGCAGGAGATGGAAGCTGCCCTAGAGCCTGGCAGGATGTCACAACATGGAGCAGCGAGCCTTGAAAATGTGTAGAGCCTGCCTCTTCTATCTGTGCTGCTCCATCTCCTTATAGAATTAGGTCCTAAATGTGACTTTTCTGGCTCTCGTTCTTAATCACTTTGTTACTAGTTCAAATTTATAATTTTAACCTAAATATAAGTGAGTGATTTATTGTAATTATTTTGTATAGGCTGCTCTTAATAAACTTTTTTTTATATCTGGAAAAACATTTAATTTCCCATATGGAAAGAACACATTTATCATACTTTACTTGGATATACTTGGCCCACTATTGCACATATATGCAAAACATATGTGACAAATTCAAGGCTGAATTTCATAAAACAGAAATGCTGTGAAAGGTGATATAATAAATATATTACACAGACATATGTGGCCAATTTATAAAACTATGATATCTTTGGTAAATTTATAATAGGTCATTTCTATTAATGGGGGGAATGACTGTGTTTTTTCTGGCATATGTAACATACACAATACTTTGCACAGCCCTCCTGAAGGACAATAGGCCTTTGGAGAGCAGACTTGTACATGTACATACTTTGTGTATATGGGACACATCGGTTTTTTTCAAAATGAATGTGTCTTCATGCGAAATTTAAAAAATAATTTTTTCAAAATTAATTAGTGTGTCTTCAAAACCAGCTCTTCCTTCTTGTATTGATTGTGTGCACAACATACTGGGCAGGAAAAAAAAAGTATGAAATAATATTCTTTGAGATTTGCAAAGCTCTGATACACTATCTAGATTCCCATCAACAATGGGTGTGTCACTGTAACAGACAGCACGTTTTATATGCTGAGCTCATGATAATGGCAATAATAGAAATCTTTGAGTGATCTTTGTTTTTTGTCAAACACCTGTGTAAATTATGTATCTTAGCAAAATTGAATTGGAATGATTAAATGAAGAACAAAAGGCGCATGTGTAGAAAAACGTTGCATCCATACACTAGTACTGGCCTCCACACGTGCAGAGTGGATTCTTAACAACTGAGCCATCGCTATCTGAGTATCCTCAAATTGTAACTCACGGGAGACTGCCCTTTCTTATTTATGCCAGAGCGTTTCAAATATCGAATCTTTCCTTTAACCCCCGAATCTATATTTTCCTCTCATCGCGTATTTCTCAGCTCCGGAAGATGAAGCCCTTCCGTGCGTGCCGGATCCACCGCGTGCCATGCCCGGCTCTTCCCTCTGGAGGGAGCCGGCTCTTCAGGCAGGGCCGGCCGGAGTGAGCGCAGCATCTTCCTCCTCTTCCTCCTCCACCGTGGCCGCGGGGCAGCGACACCTGCGGGGACCCCCGGGACACACTGGGGGTGTTCCTGCCCACAAACGGCAGGTCAGGCTAAAGCACCCGCGGTCTCAGGACGCTGCAGCAAAACCACATTTGATTTCAACCTATCAGGAAACCGAACAACAGAAGGCAAAGCACGAAGAACCAACACATGTATGTGCACACACACGCCCTTCTCCCACCTTCCAGCCCACCCGTGTTCAGGCCCACGGCAGCTTTTTGAGCTCTTTGGGTGATGATGCTGAAACCTGCTTTGCAGGTACTGCTGTGTTTGCTCTTCCAGCCTTCTCCAGGCAGCAGGGCTCAGCTTCTGTCCCCCAGCCCCAACCTGTGGGTGCCTGACTTGTTCCCAGTGGCTACAGGGATCCCTTTACACAGGCAGAATATCACACAGCACGAGTGAACCTGTTTTCTTAATCTGTAATCAAGGTACAACTGCCCCTTGGTGAGGGATCCAGCATCACAGGCTGAAATCCACTTGCCGGAGAGGAGTGCCTGGCAGGAAAGGACAAGTGAGGTGGCCCCAAGCCCTGCAGCCCCACTAGCCATGGTGGCTTGTAGAGATGCACTAGAAGCCCACAACTCTTGTGTCCCACACTGAGACCCACACTGTCCCTTCCCCAGCAGCCTGCTGCCTGCAGAACACCCTTCTGTACCTGCTACAGTCCTCGGGTCATTCTCCACCCTGCAAGCCACTGTTACACTGTAGCAGGAAGCCAAAGCAGCTGCTCCCCTGGCCATGGCTGTGTGCAAATGTGCTTGAGATTGACTGAAGAAATGCCAACACCCCAGGATGCTGAGAGGCAGCTGCTGGGGATTACCTGCACAATTCTAGGCAGAGAGTTATAGGGCCCCCCTGAAGAGAAGGAAAGACTAAAGAGAACATCTATGAAATGTGTAGAGTGTTCATGAACACTGCAAACACACAGGAGTCTCATCCCCATGCTCCTATCCTACATTGAATTTAGTCAATTCCACTAGTAAGGAAAGAATAAAATAAACTACAAAAAGCCATTTCTGAAAACTGGAACTATCCCCAGTGTTTGGGTTAAGCGTAAGCAAAGGCCACCCTTGTTCCACACTGCGTGGGCCTAATCCTGGATTTATCCACTGAGCTAAGCGATGTGGTTTTCAGACCGCAGAAGCAATCACTGAACTCGGCCTGTACCTCTAGAAAACAGAGCCAGATGCCTAATTTATTCTTTAGCCCTATTTGGAAGGGAGAAAGAATGTTTGTAACCCCCACACTTGGGCCTATTTTACAGCAGCTTTTAAACACACTTTGTGGGTAAGTGCTTCGCGTGACTTGAGGTGACCACGAGTGGAAGTATTGCCCAGAAATGCGGCCGCCTTCTTTCCTAGCAGACCTTGGTAAGAGCATGGGCTGAGTGAAGTTTAACCAGACATGTAATCAAATCATACAAAGTCATTTGTCAAATGAATCTACAATACACAGATCATGCATGATATAAAAGTAGACGAGTGTTACAGATTTTCTGTGATTTTCAAAAGGCTTCTACTAGTCAACCTGCAGCATTATTGGGATGTGTTTATTTGAAGTGGATTTTTTGCTGTGATAGAGAAATAACCATTTTTGCTTTCCATAGCTCTAACACTCCCACTCGGTGAGACAGACATGGTCATGGAAGGAGGGACACCAATCAAAGCCCTAAGGAATATTGATTTAAAGATTAAACCACAGCATGAACTGGACTGCTAACATGCTTCAATGTGAAGATGTCTAAGCACCTTGCATGCTGATGGACTAAATGCACAGTTAGAAATAGCAGAAATTTTCCTGGTTCAGACTGTAGCCTTGACATAGCTGCATGGTCTCCTTCCCACTCAGCCTAAGGACCTCTGCAGTGGCTCTCTAGCACAGAACACAGACTGGTTATCCTGAGGGCCCCTGCCCACAGCCATAGCTTGAAGTTCTGTGATTTTATCTTCCTCTAACAATATAAAATTGAGATTCCTACAGTCAAGACAAGGATCTTAAGCCACTTTCATTAAGGGCACAGTTTAGTCCTAGCATCTTGAGTCATTCTATGTGTGCTCAAAGAGAACAGGTGCTTACCAATACAAACAGATCTGTTTTCACCTGGGAACCCCAACCTGCAAACTGTTGTATTGTGATAGATTACCACAACCACGGGCACCTGCGGCAACCAGGGACAGAAGGGAAGGAGCAATCACCTATGGAGAGACACTGTTTGCTCAGACTAAGAACCCTCCTTAATTAAATAACCTCATTTTATAGGGGAGGCTTAGACTTCAGGGCAGCCAAACTGACAAATACACACAAATAATCAAACAAGAAATGAAGAAAAGAAAGAAGAGGAAAAATATTTATGAATGTCCAATGTCTTTTCAATTAATGATATAAGATTATCTACATATATCTACAAATATCTACATGTATCTACACTTTGCAGATATGATTCTTTGGTTGTCTTCACTTTTTTTCCTACACTGCAACTATTGAGAAAAAAAAAAGTGTTTGTATAATCTTTGAAGGAAATAATAAATATAACAACTTCATTAAACATTTGACCAAAGCTTTGGCACTAGTCAGTTTACAGATAACAAATCATACTGAAAACTCTGAAATAACAGAGGCAAAGCAATAGCAATAGAGCACATCCGAGAGCCATTTCCCACTGACTAATAATAAGCACAAAGCTATTTTACATCAACCTTTCTGAGAACATTAATTATGGTTTAGTCAGACACTAAGAATCTCACAATTCACTGCAAATGTCAAAATACATATTTCTTGCACAAGTATTTTTTTTATGGATTCAGATATATTTTTTAACAGAAAAAAAATTACAGAAAATATTCATGGTAGACTGTATCCCTTCTTAAACCTTTCCAAAAAGGTTTTGGAAGCCCAAAGCCCACTGCCAGAGACAAAATAAACATTGCTATTAACACTGCCACCTGCACAAGGGAAAGAACATATTTTAAAGAGTTTGTAATGAAAATGTACAAACATGGATGAATAGATGACTTTAAAAGAAATAACCCCCATCTTTTAATAGAGTCATGTGGAAGAATCGGAAAAGTGTTCATAATACTGTATACCAACACAGCTGAGGAGCTGCTCAATACCTTCTCTGAACACAAAGAGACTACCTTTGGTGAGCATCTGACACCAACTATTCAAAACACATCACTGGAGAACTGTGATGAACAGCTCGTTCTTAACAGTAAGGAACAATTTACTGTTGTTGTTACATTATAACTTATATAATGAATGAAGATATTAAAGGAAGAAGAAAAAGTACTTACCAGCATTAATAGGGAAGATGCAGCAAGCAGGTAATGCAGAATAGGTGCTTTAGGACTACTGCAGTTTGGATTAGCCAAATATAAGGGGTGAGCCAGTCTGAGAAAAAAAAACCCTGAAGTCCCTTTTAAAGGACTCTCCACGGGAGAGCATTCAAGAGCTCGGGAAAGGCTGCAGGAAGGCAGGACTGTGTGAGGCTGCCTGGGAAGCAGGTGGGAAACACACAGCCTGAACTCTGCAGTATTCCCCCACCCCCAGGCTGTTTTTTAAACCTTTGCAGGTATTGTTGGGAAAACAAGATTCAAACACAGATGTGCATGGCTGTGTTCTTGACCATAGGCCCTTGTCAACAGCTCCAGAAAATGCTGCTATGGTTAAGGCATCCCATTAAACGCCAATACTTACGAGTGGGTCAGGGCAGGAGGAGAAGTGGGAAATTTGTTCTGGCAGTGAGGCTTCCAAGCGCTCCCTTAAACTAAACTCTGCTTCCCCAAGAATCTCCTCAAAGAACCACCCGAGTCACCTGTGAACCAGCCCTCGGTGTGTCCCGGGTTGGGAGAGACTGACACCGACAAGTGCAGGACGTCGCACGGCGGCCCCACAGCCCCTGCTCGGTGCTCACGTACAGGCCCCACGGAAACAGCCGTGGACACCGCCAACACCGGCGGTAATACCAAACCTCCATCAGAAGACCCGGCGAGCGGGCGAGAGGGCACAAGTCACTTCACCGCTACCGCCTCCCCGTCCTCCCACCGCATCCCAGCCGCCCGACGCTCCTCGGTGCCCGGCACGAACGGAGGCGCGGGGGAATAGGGAGATAAGGACATATGGCTTCATTTATCAAAGTGCAGCCGCGGGTCACACCGCGATGGAGCTCCCAACACCGCCGCCCTCACAGCCCCCACAGGGCGGGGCGCGGGGCGGGGCCTGGCTGCCGGCGATTGGGCTGTCCGGCTGTCGATCAGGTCAAGCTGGCCAATCAGCTCACTCGTA